GGTACTGAGCTGAAATATTTTAAATGTATAAGTGACTAATTATTGCCCCAGTGGACTTCCCGTCATGGCTACATTTCTTAATAATCTTTAAGACACCAACAAAAGCAACACTGGATCCTTTTGAACTATTTAAGTGCTAGGTGACAAATGATGCAAAAATAAAATTTAAGTTTCTGTATATCTTACCTGGTCCTTTCCATACCACAGCTCATCAGCAGCACGTGGTGCTAGCTGAACAGTGATGTGATCCAAGAGTGACTGTCGGCTGCATTAAAATGAATTTTAAAAGTTAAAGATGACTACACTCAGGAATTTTTTTTTCTTTGACTTCTAAGGTGCAGTCGCGCCAATGCAGTAGGCAGTCGCCTCTTCCAAATTGCTTACATGGGAAGCAACACCAACAGATAATGAGGTATTTCAAAAGCAAATACTTCATGTGTTTGGTGTCTACAGATATGTTTCTTCACTTCACATAAGGCAATACATGATTAGAGATTTGAAATACTCACTTCTTAGTTCCATTACATGTACACTAGCATATCTTGTTGCATTTGATATTTCAATTTTAAGTTTTTGAGAGAAGAAATCAGAAAGATAAGTGCAATATGAAGGGGGTAGAAATCATGCCTCAGCATTCCTTCCTTAAATTTGACATGATCCATTTTCATCCGCACATAACCAAGCTCCCTGCCAGCCCTTGGAGCAATAGTGACCTTCTCAAAAAGAAACATTACAAAAAACAGCCGTCATAAAAGGCACTTTGAGGAAAGTTCATACTGTAGACAGTAGCAATTGGCTCAATTAATCATCAATTATAACGATGATGANACATAAAAGGCACTTCGAGGAAAGTTCATACAGTAGACAGAAGCAATTGGCTCAATTAATCATCAATTATAACGATGATGATAACAGCTATTTTGATAAGTATGAAAATAAGAACTCAATGCACTTTGGAGGAAGAAAAAGACGAGAAAGCTGTAGCTTCCAGCTCTAACTTCCATTAACGAGCATGATTCTACTTTTCCGTATCTTGTCAAACAAAGAGCATGAGAAATCAGAATTCAGGAAGAAGGAGAAACATTGATTGCTCTATCATCAAATATTTCCTAACTGACCCAAGTTTATCTATACCAGCAGTCAGTCCACTTCAAAGCTCCTTGCTAGCAAGTAATATTCTATTACATGGGTACAGTTTCCTTTGTCTAATACATGGTTAAATTAGACAGAAATTTCCGCATAAAAGAAGAAAAAGCATGAGAAAATCAAAATTCAGGAAGGAGGACGAACATTGATTACTCTTTCTCCTAACTGACCCAAGTTTTGTTTGCCACCCATACCAGTAGTCGGTCCGCAACAAAGCTCGTTCAAAACAAATCAATATTCTACTATATGGATATCGCTTCTTTCCTTTATAACATGGTTAACTTAGATTGAGATTTTAGTTATCATCTAAACTTTAAAGCTCATATCCATACATATTGTATAGGGAACAAATATAATCAATTTTAACATTTGAACATGCGCAACTACTTCGTCAACTTTCAAACAGGTATCTACTATGTGCAAGATGTAGTCTCACCTCAACTTCGCTCCTCTCATGTTGACTAAACTTGCCGTGCAAGTATTCCGTCTTACTTCTACTTATCCTAAATATAACACTAGAGCTAATTCTTGACAAGGTAATATAATGACATGATATTCCACCAACAAGGTAATATAATGACATGAATTCTGCGCTTAGCCCATTCTTATTTGCCTTGGTGATGGATGCTTTGACACATCATATTCAAGGGGAGGTGCCATGGTGTATATGCTATTTGCTGATGACATTGTTCTAATTGACGAGACGAGGGCAGGTGTTAACGAGAGATTGGAGGTTTGGAGACAGACTCTCGAGTCTAAGGGTTTCAAATTGAGCAGGTCTAAGACAGAGTACCTGGAGTGCAAGTTTAGCACTGAGTCGAGGGATGTAGGCGGGGACGTGAGGCTTGGGTCAAAGGTCATCCCCAAGAGAGATAGCTTCAAGTACCTTGGGTCGGTGATTCAGGGGGACGGAGAGATCGACGAGGACGTCACTCACCGCATAGGGGCGGGCTGGATGAAATGGAGGCTTGCATCTGGAGTCTTGTGTGACAAGAAAGTGCCACCGATACTCAAAGGTAAGTTTTATAGAGCTGTGGTTAGACCCGCAATGTTGTATGGGCAGAGTGTTGGCCGGTTAAGAACTCCCATATCCAGAGGTTGAAAGTAGCAGAGATGCGGATGCTGAGGTGGATGTGCGGGCACACTAGGATAGACAAGATCAGGAATGAAGATATTCGGAGGAAGGTGGGCGTCGCCCCTGTGGATGACAAGATGCGGGAAGCGAGGCTCAGATGGTTCGGGCACGTGCAGAGGAGAAGCATCGATGCGCCGGTGGCCGTGGTGGGCACGAGAAGAGGTAGAGGGAGACCTAAGAAGTATTGGGGAGAGGTGATCAGGCAGGACATGGTTCGTCTGCAGATTTCCGAGGACATGGCCCTTGATAGGAAGGCCTGGAGGACTAGCATTAGAGTTGTAGGATAGGGGTAGTAGAGCTTGCCTTTCTGCATGCCGGGGGCGAGGCGGGGTTGGATTGGGGTTGATCTTAGATGGTTTGCAGTTTATGTTGAACCCACACTATTCTTGTTGTTTATCTTAGATTCCTTAAGACTCTGGTTACTGTTATTGCATGTCATTCCTCTTTTAATTTTTATGCTTCTGTTACTATAATGGTTTTTACTGGAGTTACTAATGAATTCTCTTTTCTTTTCTTGTTTTCCTTGTTTTTCTTTATTTCCGTCGTTCTGAACCGAGGGTCTATCGGAAACAGCCTCTCTGTCCTACCGGGGCAGGGGTAAGGTCTGCGTACACATTACCCTCCCCAGACCCCACTATGTGGGATTTTACTGGGTAGTTGTTGTTGATATTCCACCAACACTGAATAATTAGGAAGAAATGCCAGAATTCATATTTCCAAGCAGTTAGCCAAAGACAGAAATCCATGCAGTACAATAGTTCTTTAGCCTTTGTCATAGATGTGATGCAAGCATCTAATAAAAATAAATGCTTATTTGGGTACAGTTGAAGAGTGAACCAAGACGAAAGCAAAGCAGAAGCACAGAGACGATTGCCTAACTCAGTAAAGATACTTCACCCAATTATCATACCATAACAACAATAATGAGAAAGCAGAGAGTAAAATATCAAAAAAAGATATGAATAAAAAAGCAGACAGTAAAAAGCAATATAGAAGAGAGTAAGAGCATTACAAACTCAATATTTCTAAGATCTGGGAAGTTCACTGCCACCACAGCCATCGCTGCTTCATTAATAGCGACTTGCTTCCACATTTCAGGGCTCCTCTCCTTCCGGTCAAGCATTCCTCGTTCTTCAATTTGTGCAGCTTGTAACAAGTCATCAGTTGTAATCTGTTAAGTGCAAACTCTAAGGTTATACAAAGTCTACTGTCTCTGGTAGCAGAAGACCGCACCATGGAGAAGTGAAGTACAGGTTTGGACACCTGTTTTAGTTGAGGAGTACTTCGCAAAGTAGTGACATTAGAGATGGATGGTGACCAGAACTTCATCTTTGTCATGATAAAATCTAGAAGACAAATTCCAGCGTACAATATTTTTGGTCTCTATGATGATATTTAGAAAAATAACACGAGCTTCATTAACCAACATCAACCCATCCCCACTTCTCCGGCTGAAAAGGGCATCATATTGAAAGCAATAATGAAAAAGTTTCTCCCATGTTGCGGGCAATAAATAAGAGCTCAGATTAGGAAGATCTCATGTTGTTTAAAGACTATGCCAAAAAGTTCATCTGTATAGTAAACAACAACTAGTATTGGCATATATTGCTTAACAAGGTTCTCTTTTTTACCTTATCAAAAAACAAGGTTAGAGGAAAATTTGGCTCACTCTGAAGCCCTAAATCTATTACCTCAGGTCTTCCATCACGCATCATATTAATAGCGGCAACCTCAACAATGTTGGCCAACTCTGCACCAACCATTCCATCAGTCATACTGGCAACAGCCATATAGTCCAAATCAGGAGCCATAGGCTTCTTACGAGCGTGCACCTAACCCAAGGAGATTCAATGTAAGAAAAACATGGAGTAAAACATATTATAAGCTTGCTAAGATTTTATAATTTATATATCCCCACGAAAAGCACTTTAAGATGCGGTACACCCCAAAAATAATTGAACCTTTCGACAGACAATTACATATGTCACGTGCACCTTAAGAATTTCAATTCGCCCAATAAGGCCAGGTTTTGGTATGTATATCTTCCGATCAAACCGCCCTGGTCGAACAAGTGCTGGGTCCAATATGTCTGGTCTATTTGTAGAAGCAATAGTGATGACTTCACCTTTGCCTTCAAAACCATCCAAGCACACAAGAAGCTGGAGAAAAAAGGAGAACCAAATCAATGTAGCCTGAAATCTCAACAAGATGAAGTGAAAGTTTCTCATAAGTGCTAAATGCCCTGGAAACCTGATTCAAAGTCGCATCACGTTCTTGTCCACCCGAACCCTTGATCAAACCACGTTCTCTGCCAACCGCATCCAACTCATCAATGAAGACCACTGATGGTGCCTGAGACAGACCACACAATAACGCTCATATCTTGTTAAGACTTTATAAATTATATATACAACCACCCTTAAGTAAAAGCAAAAATGACTTGACAAGATTTGGAAACAGCACTTATGAAGCAACCCACCCAGCAAAATTCTATCATTAAATTAACGACTCCTCAATGTCAAACTAGCCGGTTTTAGCAATATAAAAAGAAAAAAGCAAGCAATTCACTCAGAATAGGAGGGAAATGGTAGAGTCTTCATAAAAAGCAAAGGTGGAATAAGAGTAGTCAATAAGAACACCAAGCGCTTGTAAGCAAATGCCTCAGAGGATGGGCATGGATAGTAGAGAAGATAGAAAAAGGACTTACATTCTCCCTTGCCTCTTGGTAGAGTGCTCGAACACGAGAAGCACCAACACCAACATATATCTCAACAAACTGAGATGCCGAAATGGAGAAGAAGTTCACCCCTGCCTCACCAGCCACAGCCTTTGCTAGCAAAGTCTTCCCCACCCCAGGTGGACCACAAAGCAGTATACCCCCTGAAAGCATTGCCCAATAGATATGTAACGATATAAGACAAGAATAAAGCAATACCAGGCTAATGTGCCAAACAAGGAATGGAAAAAAAAAAACTGAGGAATCATCAATGAAGTGAAACAGACAGGTGCATAGTAAATCTTATGCCTCACAACATTGTCAATATTTGAGAAGTGAGATAATGCAGGCAAGAACGGGAAAAAGGAAGAAGACAATTGCAGGGAAATAGAATATATATATATAAATTGATGTAATGAATGACAACAAGAATCAGTAAACGGAAACTTTGAGGGGAGAGAGACAGACAGACAGAAAAGAGGTTCTCTTAGTTAAAGTTACAGAAACAGATATCAAACTTATTAATGTTATACTGAAGTCAGAGTGAGTTCTATTCTTGCAAGTGATAGAATTATGTTAAAACATGGAGTAGTAAAATGCAGGTAGATGTAAAAACCAGAGAAATATCTAGGAGAAACTTTACTAAAGCAGGAATCTCTTGTTACAAAGTAAAGGCGCGCAAATACATTTTGCACTAAATATGTTACTCATAGAGCTATGGATATAGAAGTGTCCACTGCCAAAGGACAGAACTTAGTAAACCCCAATTCCGTGAAAAAGAAAGAGCCATAGGTGACCTAGCTAGTGGTGGACTAAAGAANTTTTCTTCTGTGTTTTCATTGCCTTCTCCATCCTCTCCCTCTCCTCCCTCATCTTTGACATCTCATGGTTTTGCCTCCTCTTCAATTCTTCTCTCACCCTCTTCAGCTCCAACGCCTTTTTCGACTGTGGCTTGGCCTTCATAAAAGAAAGCATCCAAGCTGGAATATTTGACAAGAACCCCAAATAAGGTGAAGGCAGCTCGGGTTTTTTCAGTGGTGGAGTATAGGCATTCATACAAAGTCCATCAATTTTCAGGTCATCCCATTCAGACCAAAATCTTGGATCACTCTCAACAGAAGGTAACACAATTCTAACAACCTTAGAATCCTCTAAAACAGCTAAAACTACCTCGGGCCGTTGCTTTAACCCTACATTAGGTGGTTTAATTATATGCTTAAGTTTCCCTTCCCTTTTCAAATCCAATATTTCTGTATAAGGCAGCCTGTTGCTCACAGTTGGAAGTCCTTGTGACCATTTTTTCAGCTCTTGTGGCGTTAAAGCCTCAGTCTTTTTCGTCGAACGTCTCTTTTCGGAGACTTTTGCTGCATTTGCGGGTCTTACAAGTGAAGTTGAAAGTACAGTGAGCGTAACTGAAAGATTAAGTAAACCCAGTTGATTAAACCTAAGTTTCTTGTCTTCTTCGGTTGTGGGACTGTCAGAACTGCATGAAATGATTAACGGAGTTCTATTTTTTCGACAGTAGGGCTTGTTAAATTGGGAAAAGGAAGGCAAAAATTGAGAATTGAGAATGCATTTACAGGCCATGTGATTAAAAAGAGAATTTTGAATAAAGGGTTGAGGATGATTACATTGTACAGCAAAGCAAGAGAGTGGTCTTCCCCAATTCCAATTTGGAATTGAGACTCCTCTTGGGCATTATATCAAACAGCTTCAGGATGAGAATTTTCGCTGCAAAAAAGTAATTAATTAATACAGCCTGAAGTTCATGAATTAAGAGTGGAGAGAGGAAGAAGAGACCGAGCAGATATGGTGGCGGGTCGCCTGCAAATAGGACCAATGAAGTTGCCAAAACATTTTCTTTTGGGCTTTACTGATGGCCCAATAATGAAGGCCCATTCCACCCCTTTCCAGGTTGGAACTATAATGGTCACTTTAAAAGACTGATATTTAAAAATACATCGTGAATTTGAGTTTTCAGTTCAAATTTTTAGGACAAAAATGTCCAAATTATCTTGAAATTAATATTTTTAGTTTAAAATTATAAGATAAAATAAGCACCAGTTAATATCTAAATAGGATCCTTGGGAATGGCTATCTAAGTTAGGGCTGCTTATCGGGCGGATTGGGCAGTTATTTACTCTTAACGGTTTGGCTTATCGGTTATCGGCTTTTAAATGTATTAATCTGCTAGTCACCCGATAAGATATCGGGCGGATTGATATCGGTTTAGCTCTTATCGGGCGGTTTATCGGCCTAATTCAAACAAAATAAAATAAAATTTAGTCTCTGTATGTTTAATTAGGTGATCGACGTACTAAGATGGACGAAGCAGAGGAGACAGCGTGATGGGTAAATCATCTGTCTAAAATCTTATTTATGTTTATGCACATTGGCCTTAGTCCATGTGAAAGATTTCCAATTGACCGTTGTTAAAACAAATGTTCGTCATGCTTAGAATTCTATGATGCTTAAAACCCAAGCAAAGTTGATGAAGCAGTGATGTAACTGTTGTTGTTATCTTGTTTCAGAGAGCAAATTTTGTCTTTTGTTACAGTTAGATGACTCCTTTTATTTGGCTTTCTTTTATTCTAATTCACTCTGATAGAGTACAGGAGGAAGAATGATTTTTGATTATTTAATATATATATA